CACACACACACACACACACACACACACACACACACACACACTGCTTCCTCCCTCTCCTTCTGGATCCCATTTTCTCTCTACTTCCCGCGGTGTTGGGGGCTTCTGTCACCTCCCTAGAGAGCGGAAGGAGCAGGGTGCAGGCGAGGGTGAGAAGGCCCCGCAACCCCGACGCAGGAACCCGCGGGTGGCCCAATCCGGACGGGGGTTGACCGGGAGCAGGTGCAGGCACTGGGCGCCTGGGGAAGGCGAGCAGGTGCGAGAGCAGGCGGCAGGCCTGAGAGGCGCTGGCGAGCGCTGGGACAAAAACAGAGTGGGAAGGAGAGTGGAAAAGGGGAACCCTCCGGTGGTCAGCTCCCGGAAGCGGCGGTGGAGAGTAGGGGACCGCCTCTCCACCCCTGACCTCAACTGGGCAGAATAGGGGGTTCAAGATGGGACCACTGTCCTCAGGAGTCGCCAGAGTGCTGGGGAAGGCGGCAGCAACAAGCGCGCGACAGGCTCTGTCCATGGTCCTTAATTCCCTTCCGCTTTCCCTGGATCCTCCCGGGCTTGCCTTTCTCTTCCCCTGTGTGGGGGGAAATAATAAATAGTAGCCGAAGGGGATTCCTAGCAGCAGTGTTCCCGGGTGTGAGCTCAGATAAACCTGGACATGGGGCAGGGAGAGGGGAGTGCTGAAGTGAATGAATGTGGCTTGTGCCGGACAGTTCAAGTAAGTGCTTAGGTGTTTAATTTCTGCCTCAACAACAGCCAGAGTAATTTTCAAGGAAACAAAAAAAATGACATTGTACAGCTCTCACTGTCTCAAGCTTCAAGAAATGAAATAAATCAAAGTTAAAAGCTTGAGTATCATTTAATTATAGTGCGAATAGCGCTTTGAAAGAAGTAGAACAACATCTCTAAACAAATTATGACTGGGCCAGGAAGGAATTATTAGATTGAAATTTCATTTAGGCTCGGGAGACACCGCGCTTCACTGTGTAATCTGCTATGCCTCATCTGATTTGTATGCTTAATTCAGCTTGACGAATTTATTAGTTTTCATAATAGTGAAAAAATTGAGCAGTGCTATGAGCTAATGCATTGTGTGTACTATAAATTGTATGTCATCGTGGAAAGGCTGAAGTCTATAGAAATATTTTATTAATGTCGGTATAGGAGGGAGGATTTTCTGCAAACCGTGAAGAGGTTCATGCCAACTCTACCGGCACTATGTCTCACTGGTCCATTAACATATCGTCATACTAATTAGACTACTTCATCAGTGATATAATTTCAAACTTCAAATTATGTTCTAATTAACAAGGGTTGTCCAATTTGCTTAATCTTCAAAAGGCTTTGGATAGTCTAATTAGTATTAACTGTTGAGCATCTTTAAAGCCTAATAAAAAATCCATAAAAATATTTTGGGTGTGTTTTCTATAGATACTCGATAAAGGCCAAAGGGCCAAAGTGAGAGTGAAGATGGAAAATAACCGGAAGACAAACGTCCTCTTCTTTCCAATTTCCCCAGATTATTACTGCAAGTGAATCACATGAGAAACTTTTGGGTATGGCCACTCCTAAATAGTGTGTTTATGTGTTTAAAAAAAGGCACCAAAAAATCAAGGAGAAAAACCACATGGGGAAAAAATTCTTCTCTTTCATTAGGTACCTAATTAGATGTAAAGTAAAAAGCAACCCTGAGGAGTTTCTCAAGCATTATTGTGGCAACAGTCTGCTGAACTTGAATTGAAAATCAAATATTTGGGGTATTTTGAACCTCTCTCTGTCCCCTCCCCCTTCATTGAGCTTAATTACTTGCAATAGTTGTTTTAATGTATGTTGTCACCTGGGAGTATTGAGAAATGCATATCGTTAATATGAATTAATCTTGATTTTAATAGTAACTGACAACTGATCTCCAAAATGCTAAACACTTGTCACCACTTCATATGGTAAATAAGGTACCATAATAAATTTATGAAATAGAGAGGGACACTGTTGACATGACTGGACAAACTTTGTTTGATATGGAATTTATTGACCAAAACTATTTTAAGCAAGAATATTTTCCTGGTAACTGAAATTCATATATCATTTTAAAAAATGTTTAACATAACTTTTTTATCTCTCTGATATTTCTCAGTGATATCCCTAATTCCGGACAAGAAAAAAAGGAAGGCTGTGTTTTCAAATTATCAAGTTGAAGTAAATTAATATGTGGTCGTAGAGCAATTCAAGAGTTTATTTACCTGGATTTCCTTCCTCCTAGAAAACACATACATTTTTTAAAAGTCAAGTCATAGAGTTAGACTTCTCCATTTCCCACTCAAAGTGAAAAATGAACAGTGATTGTGTTGCATTAGAGGGAAAAAGCAATTGTTCCTTCATCAACCAAGACTTGCAATCTTGCAGTCTCTCCTTTCAGGAGTGTCCAGAATACCAACGTCGTTGCGGTGATATCAATAAAACCCATTTCGGTTTTGCCCAGAGGCATTGCTGCAAAGTGCTCCAGCGAGTGTGGAAGCCTCTCTCCCAGGAAAAAAGACTCCAGCCCCGCCGTTAGCACGAGCTATCTAAACAATTGGAAAGTTGGCAATAAACCCAAGGGGTGGAGGCAAATGACCCAAAATTTGAAACCTGCTTCCTACGACCTCAACATACCTATACCCAAGCCCCTATTCACACTTGTGCATCTGCACACCTACAGACCTACCTAGTAAAAGGAAAATAAACATTTGATTTTTTAAGCAGCAAGATGGAAAATGGATCAACTGTGTGCCTACAGGAGGCGCTCCTTTCTTCTCGCCAAGCCTCTTTGTTTGACAATAGCTTCTGTCCAGTCCTCTGGCAGATGCAGACAGATGTGAACAGCCCCCCTCACCATCCCCCACCCCTGGGTGAGGAGGAGTAGCTGGAGATTCCCCTCAGGCTTCTGGACAAAGGGTCCCTGCAGT